CCTCGGTGCCCGCAGCCGGCCCTTAGAGTGACTCTGGCTACTACAGCACTCAATATCGCACAAGACAGCGCACGTTTCACGAGGCGACTACTTGCCGGTGGGAGAAGAAAAAAGTAAGTAGAGCGAACTTGCTTTTTCTCCCCAATGAAAAGAGACGTTTTAGTTTAAGCCAACCGCACTAGTGGGACTTTCTGAAACGTTGCTTTGAGTGTGTTTGGAAGGGAGGATGTTTCTTTTCTTGTCGTCTGTTATGGTTAAAGGAACATTGAACTTCTAAAATATTTTGAATGCCTAAAATAAACACGTTTGTAAAAAAAAAAAAAAAAAAAAAAAAAAAACAAGCACGTGCCTTTTTAAAACAAATAACGAGCGAAAAAACAGAAGGCAGTATTTACGATTTGAGGCTTCTTTTGAGCAAGGAGCGATTGCGAGACCGTGGGTTCGATTTTGGCGCATCGACCGAAAATAACACAATTTCTTCAAAATCGGTTCAAAGAAGTCACGGGACTTGATTGTTGTGCTAGAATATTTTATTTTGGGAAAAGTTTATTTTGAGACACTGATCCGTACACTTCACTAAAAGGGTTTTGGGAGTTCAGTGCGTCTTTAAAAACCGAACAGATGTACCAAAAAAAAATTCCAATACGCAGAGTTAAGATTGCCAATGCGCCAATTGCGGAAAGGGTAGCCACTTAAGTTCATGATTCTATATAACGCGGAGAGCAAGTCGTCTGCTTTTTGCGTAGGAGTTGCGGTGACATCAGAACGACGCAGAGCTCTTATTGGCTGAAGGAAAAAAAAAATAGTGGGTAGACCTCAATGCTAGCAGCCTTGAGGTCTACCCACTATTTTGTTTTTCGATCAGTCAATAAGAGCTCGGCGTTCCGACATCTTCACAATCCCTGTGCTAGAAGCAGACAAACGTACGCTCCGCATTACGTTGCGACGCATTCTACAAAGAACCTGCCGCTCAGTCGTCCATGTGTCTTGTGCCATGTTAAAAAAAAAAAGAATACTAATTTTGATGAAGCAACCGCAATTTCGCTTCAATTCTAGCTCTAACCTGTTTGGTAAGTACTTAGTGACGTCATAGTCAACTTGAATAATGTGCTGGGGCCCTAATCTGGACACTTGGCGGAAAAGTTGGCGAGAAATTCGGCGGCTATGATTGGCCGGCGCCAAGGTCAAGTGTGGCATTGGCCAATCTCGGCCGCCAAATTTCTCGCCGTCGTTTTCGCCAAGCGTCCAGCTTAGGGCCCCGGCTTTGTGGTCCAAAAAGGGCCTAGAAGTGACAACCAACAAACGTCCCGCTAATGAAAAAAAAAAAAAAAAAAAAAAAAGCTACGCTTTAAGTTAGCGAAGTTTAGCCATTGAATTAGATTGGATTCTTTCGGCTTTTTTTTGTAACACGAAAACTTGGATTCTGGATATAGCCAGTGGGCTCCTCTGGCCCTTCCCCTTCCGCTGCCGTATTGGCGCTTACGCCTACGGTTGTTAGTCGTCAGAAGTTGCATTTGGAATCGCGGAAAACGGGTTTTCGTTCTCAAAAAATGTTCAAACGGTCGGTGACAATAAAAAAAAAAGTTATTTGCGTGTTTTTGACAGCTTGACCAAAAGCTCCGGAAGTGGCCTATTCAAATCGTAATTATCAGCATTGCGCCCCCTCTGCTCCAAGCACGAAAATGGCGGCGCCCGCAATGCAGACATGTACAAGTTACTCAAAAAAGTAATTAAGTCAAGTTGCTGAGTATTCGCCTCAAACGTGATTTGAGTAGAGTAGAAATTACTCAAATTAAAAGTAATTGAGTAAATTACTAACTACCGTAACAAAAAGTAGCAAATTAATTTCGAAGATATTTTTATATTGTTTTTTTAATAATACCAAGAAAGTGCATAAATGTTTTGATCCGTTAGCGAAATTCTGCTAGCCAAAAAGAAAGCGGCTTCTGTTTTCACATAAATGCTTTAATAGCTGGTTCTGCTTCTGTGTGATTAACTGTTTTGTACTTTTTTTTGTTCTATGATCAATGATGAACTGCGGATGTATCCTTTCTACTTTGAGGTTTAGCACTGCCTGAGCTTGATTTTGCAGGCAGTGTTCGCTTCTTTACAGTGTTGTGTGAAGTAGATCTAAAAAGTACTCATAAGTAAAGTACAAAGTCAATTAGAGGTTATGCTATTCAAGTATACTAAGTACACCGGGTGCAGTGGACGCGAATTAAAGTACTACAAATACAACATACTTTTTAACTTTATTTTAAATGGTATGCATTACCCCTGGAGTAATCGGAGGAGCCTAAGGTTTTCTCGGAAATGGCGGCAAATATTGGATAAAGTCAAGCCGCCACAGAGTAGTTGTTCGACTTTCGCTTACGAACTATTTAACGCAATACACTTATAAGGCACTTATTTGTATCGGACTTATAGCGGCCATCACTTCACACAGAAAAATGACCAGATGACGTCTCGACAGACGATAGCGCGTTTTCACATAACAATACACCTTTTTTTTTTTTCATATTTGGGGAATGTACTTTAAAGTAGGGAATTTTATTTTCATCGGGAATTATCAGAAAAATACTTTAGTAAAGTACGAGTACATGCTCAGAGAATGTACTTCAGGTAAAGTATACAAGTTTTCTAATCCTACTTGAAATAGTACTTTAAATACTTCCCAATTTACCGGGTTTTTTTGTTTCTGTTTTTGTAAAAGGGTTGAGGAGATTGTTAAGATTATCGAGCAATCTTCGAATCTTGAAACACCTGCATATGCTGAGGTTTGGGAGGAAAAGCAACGCAAAGAGGTCACCTTTGCGTTGCCCTTTAGCACGCGATCCTTCGTGTACAGCACAGACTTCGGGAGCACCAGATTGGCTTCAGGTCGAGTGCTTCATTTTGTTGAATCCTTTGAGCGAGGCTGCACTGCAGTCGGCGAGAGTTTTTACGTTCTGGAGAAACGGGGACAAACCCTTTCTTTAAATACGTGGTCTCCTTGAGCCTTCGGGACACACAGAAATTCCAATCTTCGGCGCTAATCCCTCATTTACTGAACCTCAATTGCCACTTGAATGTGCGTTCCCCGCGCCTCGTAGCAGGGTTGTTAGATTGGGGGGCTCGTAAAAAGTTTAGAGGATTTCGGGCCCTCCAAACCACTCCCCAGCCCCTGCCTGCGTCACATGCTTCCCCTCTTGGCAAATATCAGTTGATCTACCAGCATCTTATCTATTTTTGTACAAGAATGTTTCTTAACCAGCAAACCCATCGCTAAAATTCAGAAGTAATTTGTAATTTGAGTGGAAGTTACTCAGAAAAAGTAATTAAATTAAACTAATTACCACAATAAAAGTTTAATTGAAAGTTAATACACTACTCAGAAAAGTAGTTAAACTTCAGTAACTTGGGTAGAGTATTTGAACTACTACGTAGAAGTCTGCCGTAATGGATAATACACGTGACCTGACGTCGCGTGACCTATTACACCAACTTAGTCTTTCCCAAATTTAGCGGGAAATTCGACGTTAAGCGACTTTTGCACCAAGTTAGTTTCGAAAACTCCCTACCCCTGAAACGACGGCTTAATGTCTTCTAAACAAAATTAAACGATCGCTCCTCAAATTCTGCGTTTCATGTATAATAATAGACCCTTTCCGGAATTCTGTCTGGCCACTTTGATCACTATCATCATCATCTGAAAACGGCATATGTGCTATACTAATGGCGGCTTTCTGTTTACTGATGAAGGAAGAAGTTGAAGATGCTCCTAAGCAGATGATTCGAGGCCTATACATTCTCGATGTTAGCGCGGCGTGAAGCAGGAATTGGACGTAAGAGCTGCGTAAGCGTTCGTTTCTAACTCGGCCCAGTCAATCGGTTAGTAGCAGTCAATCGGCCTCAAAGCCCCTTGATGTATAGAACTCTATCAAGGCGTCTATGTGGATTGGCGCTTCGTTCCGACTGGCTGCATTTGTTTCGCCATAGACCCGTTGTTCTGGGGCAGGGGGCGCAAGCGCGTGCGCAAGACGCGACCATGTTATGCTCGCTGCACCATCCGTGTGGCGCTGTGATGTTCGATGTTGCACGTGCCACATTCGAATAGAAGGTTGTTACCAGGCATCTGTAGATCCGCGGTAACAAAACATATAGAAAGAAAAAAATTATACAGCTCGCGTCCCATTAAACATTCTTTTCATCTTTGCTTTCTTTCATATCTTCCGAGAGCACGAATGTTTCACTTCACGTGATAGCGAAACCGAAGCTTTTCGCAAAAGCACGTCTTCGTGAACGACGCTCGCACTGCACGAGCGCGCGTGCTTGGCAGGGATGCTGAAAGCTAGCTGCTCGGTCTTGTAGCCTCTGCTACGCTGGCACTTAGAATGGAACGCGAAGTCTAAAAAACAAACTGTAGTGGGGAAGCGCATTGCCGCAAACGCGAGCCAAATATTCGATTTTGCTCGCCTGGAACGCTGCTCAAAACTTGAGAGCTACAGGCCTATTGACACTAAAAGAGATTGAAAATAATTGTAGTGAAGTGCAAATTCTCGTTTACCGTTCACCTTTAAGTGATGGTGCCCCATTAAATACTGCAGACCACAGGTTCATGTTTGTTTGTTTGTTTGTTTGTTGGGGTTCGTTGCCGCAATTAGTATAGTAAAAGATTAACCGCCATTTGAGTCAGCAGATGGCACTGAATTCCGGGAAGGGTCTATAGGCAGGCACGTAGCCAGGATTTTGATTTGGAGGGGGGGGGGGGGGGGCGCCCATGACAAAACGCTGCATGAGGGGGAGGGGCGAGAGGAGGCCCCAGCAAAATGAAAGATTTCGAAGGGGGGGAGGGAAGGGGCCGGGCCCCATGCCCCCCCCCCCCCCAACCCGAAATCTTCCATTTTACTGGGCCTCCTCTCCCCCCCCCCCCCCCCCCGCCCTGGCTACGTGCCTGATAATTGGACATATAAATCAAAGTTGCTGTCAATCTCTTTTGTTTTTTTCCTTCACAGCTATCAGCTGCTTCGTCCGACCCATATATAGACATCTCGAATCCCGAGCCATGAATTACCGATCGTGGTGCGTATTGGTTGCTGCTGTCTTGAGCAACCTGGCCACTGCCAAGTGTGCCAGCCTGGAAGGCGCCGCGCTGCGACTGAAGGATTTGACTTCAAGCGGAGGACCAGCCGGCTTGGACTCCATCCATGGCATTGCAAACAAAAAGGAGTTCCGGAACTACACGTCGGAGCACCGCGAAGTGATCTGCAGGCCACTGGAAGGCGGCGGCATTGAGTGTAAGGGTCAACCCGATTTTATTTCTTCTTTTTTAATTTATTTTTTGTGAAACTCGACGATTGACCGCAGAGGACGCTACAAGCCATCCCAGCCAATCCTATGCTGTGAACGCGTCACGTGATTTCGCGTCCCACGCGTCGGTGCGCCCCTCCTCTATAGCTTACGTGAGACTACCCGCGTGGCATATTGGACTGGCTTGAATCGTGAGTTTTAGTAGATCGTTCCGATAACAATATCCGATACTAGATAGTTTGAGCAGAGGGTTTCGATATTTCTGAAACACCTTATAACGATACCCGATAACGATGCAATGCATGCGCAAAGGCGGCGGCGAAGTATCGGGTATCGTTATCAGAGTCAAAGGAACCATCTACTAAAAATCTATTCTCTGGCGACGCGTTTGCGCATGTCGTCATCGGGTATATCACTATCGGAAGTAACGGAAGGCTGTATAAAAACTATATTTTAAAGAGATTTAGTAGATATCGTTCCGATACCTCCAATAGCGATACCCGATAACCACGTACGATGCGCGTGCAAAGGCGACGAGGATTATCGCGGGTATCGTTATCGGAGTCTTCGGAACGATCCAGTGAACCTCCCGAATGGGAGGTTTAACAGATTATCTTTTCGACTCAAAAGCGGCGCGAGCTTTTTTGATATCGGTTGCCAATGCAATATTTTATCATCCTTACTAATAAAACACATGGAATGGACACATAATCGATTAAAACAATGGTTTGTCGGGATATTTTGACTGTTTTCTTCGAGGTACTGATGTTGTCTGCTTTGCACTTCCTTTTTGTTACAACGTCTGTCTTTGGTTCTGTTGCCGCCTGCGGAACGCGCGCCGCTTTTGAGTCGAAAAGATTGTCTGCTAAAAACGTCGGCTCCGGCGCCGTATGCTCGTTCGTTGGCGGCAATTGGCGTCGCGAACGCTTGCGCCATCTCTTGTCTCCCGTGGAAAAAGGCGCCGTATTGTATCAAGACCGGTGGCGTCGCTGCGTTTCCATAGGAGCTAAGACTTTTCTTTCTTTACTTTTTCCTCAGGTAAATTCGCTCTTTGCAAATTTTACAAAATAAAAAAGTGAAAGCCGTTTACAACTCCCTGTAACACCGAATTAGAGCGCAGCTCTTGAGGAGGAGGAGGGAAGGGTACTGGGGGGTGAAGTGACCTGGGGGGGGGGGGGGGTCACGTGACCTTGGGGGTCACGTGACGATGCCGATGATGTCATCAGTGACGTCACTGATGACGTCATTCGTGATGATGACGATGTGGATGCCGGTGACGGCATCAGTGACGTCACTGATGACGTCATCAGTGATGATGACGATGACGATGCGGATGCCGGTGAGGTCATCACTGACGTCACTGATGACGTCATCAGTGACGATGACGATGCGGACTCAGATGACGTCATCAGCGATGATGACGATGCGAATGTCGGTGACGTCATCAGTGACGTCACTGATGACGTAATCCGTGATGATGACGATACGGATGCCGGTGAGGTCATCAGTGACGTCACGGATGACGTCATCAGTGATGATGACGATGTGGATGCCGGTGACGTCGTCAGTGACGACGACGTCATCGGGGAGGTCACGTGACCTCGGCGGGGGTCACGTGACCCTGGGGGGTGTCACGTGACCTCGGGGGGGGGGGGGGTGTCACGTGACTTCGGGGGGTCACGTGACTTTGGGTGTCACGTGACCTTGGGAAGGGGACACGTGACCTCTGGGGGTCACGTGACTTTGGGGTGACCTCTGGGGGTCACGTGACCTTGGGGTGACCTTGGCGACGCCGACGCCGCTCAAGCCGGGAACGGGCCCCTAAGAGCTGCGCTCTAAAAAAAAATGCACCATCTGTGGGCAACGCCGCACAAAGTCGTAGCCCGATAGGTTAAGAAACGGAATTTTGCGGTCGATTTAAGGCCGGTTCACACATACAGCGAAGCGCTAAGTTAGCGCTACGTGAGCGCTCGAAGGAGCGCTCATGAGGCGCTTCCTAGCGCGTGATGTAGTGCTCGATTAGCGCTTCAGTAGAGCTCTGTTAGCGCTTCAGCAACGCTTTGTTAGCGCTCTGTTGCGCTACAGAAGCGCTTTGTTAGCGCTCTCACGCTCCTTGTGCCGTGCTTGCTGCTGCGGAACAGCACGTGCACGGCGATTCCTTTGGCATTGAAAGAAGAGGAAGTAAAACAGGCGCTTTCCAAGCAAAGGGTCGGGCAGGCGATCCAGATTCATGGACTCTGAGGGACTAATTGATTGGGTACGACCTCATCGCTTTCTATTTGATGTGCGTGACCCTGATTTCAAAGACACGCTGTTAAAAATAATCGCCTTCGAAAGAACTCTGTGTCTCGGTCCCTCCGCCTATAAACAAGGTTCGCCGGGTACCCGTCGGTATCTCAGTGGCGAAAGATTTCGCGCACCCAGAGGGCTCTTCTGGGCGATAAGCCGTCAACACACATACGCATTAATCGCGTATCTAAGAGAATTTGTCGCATTTCTATTTCAGCATTCCACATGTCCGCCATGGTGCTGCTGATGCACATCCAACCACAGGAACCGGAACCGTAGTGCAGGCGCTAATCCGCTGCACCGCGGTACAAGAAGCGCTACTGAAGCGCTAACACGGCGCTGCTGAAGCGCTAAGAAGGCGCTACTGGAGCGCTAATAAGGCGCTACTGGAGCGCTACAGAAGCGCTAATCGCGCGCTATGTAGAACTAAGTCACGCGCTAGGAAGCGCCACATGAGCGCTCCTTGGAGCGCTCACGTAGCGCTAACTTAGCGCTCCGCTGTATGTGTGAACAGGCCTTTAAAGAGCCTGGCCGCTCCTTGGGAAATCCAGTATATGCACATTGGGACAGGATACTTAAATCGTTTAAGCGCGGGTTCACACACTCGCGACTGCCTACGGCCGGCTGCCGGTCGTAAGCTTAAAGAAACTGGTTCTGGCACAGGTGGTCATAGTCAAACGCGTATGTGAACCATCCTTTAGGCGTCGGTGAAAGTTGTCAATCGCTCATGATCTTAAAGGGGCCCTGCAATCATATTTAAGCGTTTACCTTTTATGCGGTTTCCACGTCTCTTGGTGTTCGGGCAAGCCAGCGGGCACGGAAAGAGTAGCTAATATCAGTGCGCTATATTTTAACCGGACGACACGGAAACCTCATCCACCGACGAGGGCGACTCACGGTACCGAAAGGCGCAAAATGTGACGTCTTTGGTCCTGGGCTTACTACTGGTCAGAGCCACTAAAAACTTCTTTTTGGTCGAAATACAAAATATAAGTGGCGCGATCCGTTTCAATTATTTATAAAAGTAGTTGTTCACTATTATAGATGAAAAAAAGAAAGAAATACAGTTTATAAAGTATACGGAAACAAGAAATGACCCGTCAACATACCCGCCGCCAAGCGGTGGAAAAGCGGCGCATACTAGAAAGGAGCGGTGGCGCTGCAGTCGTATGGACAGGAGGATCCAACCGGCCCCGAGCGTTCCGAAGGCCTTTGGTGAGAGGCTTTGTCTTGCGGTTTGGCCGTTTCGCGGTATGGCAGCGCGAAGTGCATCCCATTCTGAACTGATCTTTACCCCGTGTTTGCTGTCGTTTGTGGCCAATGAAGTGTCATGCCGAATTAGTGTTTAATCGCGCAGCAAACGCAATGAAAGCCGCTTTGGCTGCCCGCTGCATACAGCCTATCCAGAACATGCTTTAGTGGCGCCCTCTGGCGCCGTCGACACGGCGGCCGTGAGCGCTCGATGAGCTCACTATTCCTCCTCTAGTTCACGGCCACTCAAGCCAGGACCTACGACGTCATGAAGGAGGTTATTTTTTACTTGTTTTTGTAATTCTAAATTGCCTATAACTTTTAAAATAAAGCGAATTTCGCGAAAAGAAAAGTTTCACTAAGTTACCACGTTCAGTGCCGCTCAGGTTCGGTGCAAATTAAAAAAAAAACAGTAAAAAGTCCTTGCAGGGCCCCTTTAAGTTAGGACTGCCCACTGCTTCGTATACCTACTGCTGCGAGTCCCCAGTTGCGAAGAAGTGTCCCTCAACATATGTGGCACCATCCACAGGCAAAACCACTAAAATCACTTCTAATGTTTCCTTGTCCTGGACTCCGGGAATCATCGCCGGCCTTGCGGTGGGACTGGTCGTGCTTCTCGTCTGCGTGACCGTCTGCTGCGTCTTTTGCTGCCGGGGAGTGTGCGCAAGGAGAAACACGGTGGGCGTTCTACACCTTTTCGAAGGATGTACTGTCGGCACTTAACCAGATTGGCACAAGTGATCGACGGCCGGATCGCTGAAGTCGCGGCACACTGCGCTGTGTGGTCGCAAAATATGCTGAGAGTGAAAGGGGTCGGGCCGTTCCGTAACTTCAATGCCGGGATGATTCCGAAGACGGTTATCGCTTAAAAAATTGGCCTTTTTTTTTTACAAGATTGATGCCGTAGTTTACGAGTCTTGAAAGGTCAGCGTATGAAATACACCAAAGACGTTAACATTGAACAAAAAAAAAAAAGATATCTCTGCACTCAACGATTCAGTAAAAAAGAGGCCGCATGTGTATACACAATCATGCGTGACCGTCAAGCACCTGGGGCAAAGCAGCGGCACTTTCAGAAGCGCGTTTTGGAAACGGCTGCTCTTCGCCGGACCGGCTCTTTGCTACAAAGATGGCGCCCACAAGTGGACTTGAACGTAGTTCAACCACTCTACTCAAGTTACTGTATTTTAACTACTCCTCTGAGTAGATTAGTAACTTTCAATTACATTTTTTCTTCGGTAATGAGCAGTTTACTTTAATTACTTTTCCCGACTATCTTTCACTCAAAATACAAATTACTTTTGAATTTTAGTGGTAGGCTTTCTTATCAGCAAAAATTACAGCACAAAAAGAGATAAGATGTTGGATGGTCAACTGATATTTGCAAAGAGGGGAAAGCATGTGGTGTAGACAGGAGGAGAAAGGGGGGGGGGGGGGGTAGTGGTTTGGAAGGTCCGAAATCTTTTGAACTTTTCACGAGCCCTCCACTGTAACAATCCTGCTACGAGACGAGGGGGGCGGAGAGGCATGCCGCAAGTGACGCCGAGTAAATAGAATGAGCGCCGAAGATTGGTGTTCCTTTATGTCCCGAAGCTCAAGGAGACTTGACGCATTTGAAGAAAGGGCTAGTCCCCGCTTCTACCCAGAGTCGGAATTTTCGCCCACTACAAGAGATATACACACAGCATCCCCATTCAAAGGAGGCATCAAAGTGCAGAACCCGCTCTGAAGCTCATCTGGTGCTCCAAAAGGTTGTGCTGTCACTTAAAGAATCGCGTGCTATAGGGCAACGCCAAGGCGACCTCTTTGCGTTGCCTTTCTTCCTGAAACGCAGAATATGCAGGTGTTCCAAGATTCGAAGATTGTCCGAGAAACCTTAGTAATTCCTCCGAAGATTTTACATAAAAACAGTAAACAAGCAGTGATGGAAAGTACTTTAAGCACATGCTACGTAAAGTACTATTTCAAGTAGGTTTAGAAAACCTGTACTTTACTTGAAGTATATCTTCTGAGCATATACTTGTAGTTTTCTACAGCATTTTTTTTTTCTCTGGTACTTTTCAAGGAAAGTACCAATCCCGACTTCAGAGTCAGGAGTTGTAATTCACATGGCGCAATCTTTGTCGTGGCTCGTTTACGCAAAACATAAATCTAGTCCGAAAAAAAAAAGGAAGTTTGAGGCTGCAGTAATTGCAAACCGCAATAGACCCTTTCAGGAATTCAGTCTGGCGACTTTGATTACTATCATCATCATCTGAAAAATGGCATATCTGCTATACTAATGGCTGCCTTCTGTTTACTGATGAAGGAAGAAGTTGAAGATGCTCCTAAGCAAATGATTCGGGGCCTGTACATTCTACACTTTAGCGTGACGTGAAGCAGGAATTGGATGCAACAGCTGCGTAAGGGTTCATTTCTAACTCTGGCCCAGTCAATATGTTAGTAGTACACACTCTGCTTCAAAGCCCCTCGATGTATAGAACTTAATCAAGGCGTCTGTGTGGGTTGGTGCTTTGCTCTGAATGGTTGCATTTTTCTCACCGCCGACACTGAAAGAGATTGGAAAAAAACTGTGCACTGCAGCACACATTCTCGTTTACCAATGGCTTGCGAAAGTGACGGTGCCCCATAAAATACTGCAGAACACAGGTTCATTGCCGCCATTAGTACGGTAAAAGCTAAAACCGCCATTTGAGTCACCAGATGGCACTGAATTCCTGAAAGGGTTAGAGTTCCTGTATAGCTACCTACGGTAGCAGAGTTGCGCATTCAGCCTCGGCGCGTGACCGTAGCGCCGGCTTTCCCGCACGAGATGGATGCTTTGCTTCTCACGTGACTAAATTTGGCGAATAGCGGCGCCGCGCGCGCCGCCGCGCATGGAAAACAGGAGAGGAGGAAAAGGAGGCGGAAAGCAGGGAAACATACGCCGGGGCAAGAGAAACGTCGGCGGAGCGACCGTAAAGGTGGCTTTCTTGCACGCGACCAGATGCTTTGCTCCTCACGTGATGGATCTCGGCGAATAGCGGCGTGGCGGCGCGGGGAAAACAAATGCGCAACTCTGGCTCCCGTAGGGAGCCTATACAGGAACTCTAGAAAGGGTCTATTCCGCACAGGCGTATTTAAAACCTGACTTAGCGCCAACTTATATAAGACGAAAACCCGTTAAAATTGTAGTACTTTTCATAGTGAATGCAGCACCACGAAGTTATGCAAGTAGAAGTGCACAATTCCAAAATGCGTCTAATATCATATGCATACATTCTTATAAATTCTGCCTCAAAACTAAATTTTAAGCTAGGAAATAGTAACACTTGCCACGCATTTCCCTCTTTGCAACTGCGCAACGAAGGGCAGCGGTGGTGGCTGCATACCGAAACCACCGACGCCCGAGAGAACAAACCGGCTCCCCGAAGACAACCATGCAAACCGTAAAAACTTAAAAAAAAAAGAAAAACGCTTCGGGGTCGGAATTTTTATCTTTCGCCGCGAGTCCAACCCTTGCGCTAAATGCTAACGCATTTAGTCAGGCATCTCCGCATCGATAGAAACAATTTCGGCATCATTTTTGATTTATGTAGTACTTCTAAAGTTCCTTGATAGCAATTTACGTTCTTAAAGACCGGCGACCAGTTCGCGCTTTCCACTTTTCCTACCCTTGCACCTCTCCCTCCTTCTATCCTCGCCACCGTTGCCTGCTCCCTTTTCCCCTATGGTGAGGAGGATCTTCTGCCTTGCAGAATCTCGAGTCTGATCGTCGGCCTTTAAGTGACCCATTCTGGGTTAGTTACCTAGAACCTATAGCGCTTTCACTACACTCCCAGCTTTTTGTCAGCATCGTTTTACACCGTTACAACTTCTAACCCATAAATAATTAATGGACCTGACTTTTCGGTTTGTTTCAGTAGCAGACAACGCTGGTGCACCAGGTACCGCACCAGGTGACCACGGGACCAGGGACCCACTCCTTTCCGCAAGGTGCTTACCCTAAACAGCCGCGCTGATTGTCGTCTTCGCTTCGAGTACAACCCGAAAGCAACTGAGCCAGCGAATGCGTCGACCCTGTAAATGCTCAACTGTGCCACGACAGACAAATCGTAAAAATATAAAAAAAATATGAAAAAAAAAAAAAGAACTTCTGTGTGCACCTCCGAGAAACCTCTGTGCTATTTGCAATTTGAATTTATACGAAATGGACAACACAGCGTTTTCTATATCCATCGCCCGACATGCGCAAGTCGGTCCCTTTGGACAAAGAACACCTCTTGTCTCTCTTCAACATTTCTCTCGCACAAATTAATTTAATAAAAAATCACTAATGACCACTTAAGTAATCTTTCGTTATAAAATTACCCGATTATTCGATAACAAAACGACAACAACAAAAAGTACAACGCATTTAAATGCCCTAATAGACCATCTTCAAAACTCCATCGAGCAACACTGGCGATCTCCTTTTTTGGGGGCACGAAGAGTGTGCTTGAGTCTGAGTCTCCACCGAAGGCTGACGCCGCACTCGTTGTCGATACGAGCTGAGACGACTTCACGCCGTACGCTGACGCGACCTTTAATTTTCAATACATGCTCAAATTGCGTGCCCAAACAATGACAGATTCGTGTAATTGGCGCTGTAACTACGAGAGGGCGTGTACTTTTGAAAAGGGTTTATTGGAGGGCATTGGTGGCGAGTATCAAGAGCTTTATTGCAACCTCGTCAGGAAAAAAAGAGTTCTTTGAGTACGGCAGCCTATATATATAAATTATTATTATGTTTCATAGGGGTCATCGAGGGAAGTTGTTCGGACGTCGAGGAATTTAATTATCCAAAGTACTGCCCTTGATCAAACTGAACCCCGTAACCCGCGCTGTCCAATTCCTTTAGATAAAACAAATGTTTCAAATGCAGACAGCGGAAGAGCTCATGTAGGATTTTTTCTACGGCAACAAAATTGAAGTCATTAAGAAGTGTGCCGAGCAAAGAAACTTTTTACTGAGGTTCCATACGGGGTGTTAATATTTCACTTCTGTTTTCAGTAATCTGTCAGAGTCCAGTCGTCTCCATATAGTGCATCACCTCTATGTCGTTTCATCCACTCGCCCGGTATTTATAGTCATCATTGTTTACCATACACACACTGTATGTTTTAGATGATATAAGTTGTTCTCTGGTATTGTTATCTAAATACAATTTACCAATAATCTGACACATTTGCTATAAAATCTACCAATAAAACCACATTCGTCACGAACTTCGTGTTACCGACATCAATTTCCATTCTTACGACGCAGAAGTCCCCGTACCAATGTTATGAGAGTACGCTCATGCTTGCGTTTGCTTACGACCGAGTTCTTGTTACCTCTTACGACAAGAAAACACCCTAGCACGCTGGCGCCATCTATGAAGTGACCCTTGAACTGCGTTGGAATTGAGCAAAGGTTTTGCAGTATTTGAGAGATCAAATGTACGTAATATCTACTAGAAATGATCGCTCACAACGTTGGCAAAAACTTTCAAACAAATAATAATGCGCGAAATAAAATATACGGGAACTGCAAATTGTTTCCACAGATACACGCTGGACGCGAGATCTGTTCTCTCGCCGCACCTACCAATGGGATAACCAGGTGAGACAAGACACTGTGGTGGGTGAGGCGAATGAGGGTGTGCAACGGAAGAAGAAAGTTACAAAGTGCGTCGCATTATTTATCATCCGTGCTCCCTCGATTACTAGCGTGCTATTAGTTTTATTAACTTGAATACACTATACATTAATGTGGGATGCTTTGTTCCTCAACTACATGTGCGGTGGAGTAAACAAATGTTAAACCAAACGGCGGAACATTATGGCCACGCGTTTCAACGGGGACCAACAATACACTCCGCGACGAGCGCTTGGCTGAAACTTTGCGACTTCACGAGTTTTCTGCACGCTCTCAACGGCCTTTGTTTTTCGGCATTGGAGTATCATAATGTACAGCTGCAACGGAAAAAGATTAGCACAAGTGACCGACGACCGAGGCGGCAAAATCCCTACACGCGGCGCTATTGTTCTCGAGCTCGCCGATAGCGAGAGTGAAAGTCACGTTCCATGCCTCAACGCGGGGGTGGCCGGCAGAGAATGGACGCACAAGATAGCTTTTGAAATGCGTGCTTTAGGGTGGGCTGCTTTCTGCCGGCCACCTCAGCGCTGAGACACGGCACGTGACTGTCACTCTCGCTATCGGCGAGCTCGGAAACAATAGCGCCGCCTGTCGCGTTTTGCCGCCGCTCCGGTCGTCGGTCACTTGTGCTAATCTTTTTTTTGTTGCAGCTGTATGCTAGCGGGTCAACTGCCGCTATACTTTGTTTCCCCTTAAGTTCAGACACAATCGACCCTACGAGCTGATGAGACCAATCAGACAGCATCAAAAGCTCACCGTCATGGTGGTCGCCATGTTTCTCTAGATGTTCTATATATATATATATATATATATATATATACATCTCGCGGGTCTATTTTGACTAATTTGAGATCTTTTGACGTGCAACTGAAATCTCAGTTTGACCTCTGTCAAAATCTGGGCACTTCAGTCGGTATTCCTGACAACTAGGGATTCATTGGCCAGCGCGTTTGCTCAAAGCCACTGAGACGTTTTAACGTTTTCTGTTTTGTTTTAATATCATTGCCATTTAAAAGTCTCAAAGATGGCTGTGAAACAAAACATACTCGAACTCACGACCAACTGGAATCCTGACCTGCCGACAGAAGGGCCCCCTGTGGGACCAGCTGTCGCTGGCGGAGTGCCTGGTTTCTCCGTTGAGGGCGCGCGGTAAAGGTTCTTCTTAGAGTTCCTGTATAGACGTTTTGCAGCAACTGTGCATGGACGCCGCCATAGCCGACCTTCAGTTTTTGTCTCCTCTTATTCCGTTCGCTTGACTTCATCATTGCCACATCAGGACAGGTTATTGCCATTTTAAGTGCTACTCTGTCCTTGTGCCCAGCATAGGCTCTTGTGGAGTCTCGCCAACCCCCGGTTCAGTGGCTCAGCATCTAGGTAAAACGAGAGAAGGTCGACTATGGTGGCTCAATCTGGCGCGTGCTGAAAGCGTCTATAGGCTCCCTACCCGCTCATTCACACTGGAAGCGGATCCGCGTTCGCAAAGCGGTTGCGAACGCGGTTGTATAAAGATCCAGTGCAATTGCACGCGCACTTGATGTCATCGAGTGCGCGTGCAATTGTACTGAATCTTTAAACAACCCCGTTCGCAACCGCTTTGCGAACGCGGATCCGCTTCCAGTGTGAATGAGCGGTACGGGAGCCAGAGTTGCGCGTTCATGCATGGCATGTGGATACTGCTCCTCACGTGACTGAATTCGGCGAGTAGCAGCGCCGCGCGTTTGAGGCGCGCGGCAGGCTCAAAAGCCGCGGAACGTAGGCCGGGCGCGTGCAACGTCTACTTTGCTGCACGTCACTTGATACGGCTCCTCACGTGATCGGATCTCGGCGAATAGCGGCGAGGGCGGCACGCGGCACGTGGAATCAAACGCGCAACTCTGGCTCCCGTAGGGAGCCTATACGGGAACTCTAGTTCTTCTGGGACCCGCACGCCGCTCGCATGCAGCCTGCCTTCCCTACGGCCTGCCACCCATGCCACTAGCTGATTACCGCTCTTCCTTCCCTTACGCAGGGGTCCACCTCGCCGCAAAGCGGCGCCAGCGGCGGGACCAACCGTTTTCGCTCGTAGCAGGACCATAAAAGTTTTTTCAATGTTGATTTAATCGCCTCTGTCTGGCTTATTAGGGCGCGAGGGTGCAGTGCCCGGAGGTAGAACAAAATTGTACTACAGCACCAAAGTGCAGTAGTACAATAAATAATGCTAACCATGAAACCGGTTATCCTCCCTCGCACACTCATATTAAAGGGATACTGAAGCGAAACTTGAAATACACCTATTATGGTCAGAAATAGGTTCAATATGATCAGTGATATTCATAAATCATAATCGCGTGTTTGTATTTTGAACGGATGGCTATATTTTTCACCCTGATGGGCCCGATTGGGCGCGCGCTCAAAAAAATGGGCCATCGGAGAGTCTTGGGATATTGGGCGCATTCGTGACGTCACTTGTGCCAGACGGGAAAGGCTACGGCGTGAATGTTGTGGTTACGAGCGTTGCCACTTGGTAGCGCGTCGACGATTTACGACCTGTGACAACGTGGCCGTTTGAGATGTGCAAGGGCTGCACGCACGCTGCACCACGGCAAGTCGGCAACCACGGCAGCACTGACAAAACCAGCTCTGAGGCCGGATTCTCAAAGCGAACTCACGACGAAAAAAGTGCGTACGACAAATTTGAGAGAAAACCCGTACTCTCGAAACGAAATTGTCGTAACCTTTGCGCAGGTTACGACAGAATCCTACGACAGCTCCGAAGCTGTCTTACGCACTTTTTACGATCAAATCAACAAGGCCGACAGCGTCGCTCAGTTACTTGGTATCGGCCACCAACGGACATTTATTTTTCTACGTGCTCTTCTCGTGCGTCCCGACTTCAACCAGCAAGAAAAAAGGAAGGAGTACTTAAACCAGACCACGACGATCAAGAACGCAGGATCCACAAACACACGAGAAGAGCTACAACGGCCACGATTCTGTCGACCGAGCGAGCTCGGCAGAATATAGTAGGCCTAGCAGCAACATCGACTCGGCGCACCGTTGCTCCGGCGGTCCTTGGCCAAGACCGTCTGTCCATGACCGGCTGGCCTGGTGAATGGAATATGCCCGCGCGACCCTTGTGGACCCTTACCGGATGAGTAGTTTGATCCCTGAACTAAATTTCAGAGGTCAATATTTTCCCCTTGTCATCTCGATCTCCTTGTTTTCCGAGACAGCGGTGACGAACGCTGTCGTCGAAAAGGGACTCTCAGTGATTCTATCTCCTTGTTTTGTGTGATATAGAGCTCAAATAAACGCCATACGGATTACCTTCGCAACTCGGTATGTACACTCTGTTATTAGTATGCCATTTTTATTCTGACTCGACGCTACGTTACTGTCGAGCAGTTCGTGGGAGCTACGCGATGTCGGTCTAACCTTTCTTTGCCGAGTGTCATGTCAGTATCGAGTTGCAATCGTAAAAGATCGGTCCAGAAGCGCTTACCGAAACGCGGTCTAACAGAGCGAATCCAGCACTTCGATCAAACGCGCGTGTCCGCTCCGAGTGTGAACAGGTATTTGCGTGGCTCTTGCTGACACCCTCGTAGTTCAAACTAGAGCCACTAAATGAGCTGCGCTTAGAGTATCGGCACTCCGTTCCCCGGCATTGTTGTGGGCGCCGCCATTT